CCCCCCCCCCCCTTTCCAGCTCTTTTTTTGACCCTTTGTAATACTTTTTGCTCATCGTTTTTTGCGCTTTTTTCGTTGTTATCGCTTTATTCTAGAGTAGTTCTATCAATTCCCGACAAAAAAGGCTACCCTAAACTTATTGCTAACGGTGCCTTTCATAAACTGCTTCAAGTTACCGGTGCCTTGTTCGTGTAGTAGAAAAGTTGTCAGAACGCCCTTACCATTCTCAGTACCTAGACACGAAAAAGGAATAAGGTCACAAAGACGTTCCATCAAAGCTTTTTTCTATTTTAATAATGATTCATCTTCTTTAGAGTACGAATGGTGTTTCAATACCATATCATAGAATAGGGACCGAGCTGAGCAGAGTCAATTTCATCAAAAGAGCTCCTTTTCCTGAAATTTATATTTTTAAGACATTTCATGGGTTCTAGACAAATCATTGGGAACACGCTCTGATTGCTTTCAACACTGCTCAAACTTTCAAAGTATGTTTTTATTGACGATATCAGGCTTGATACAAAACACTTTTCCAAAAAAGCATTCGAGTAGCAAAATTACATAACTAGTCTTCCTTGTGCATACGCACATCTGGCTACTAAAAAAATCTTCACTCCTTACTGGTTAGAAGGTTTAGTGGACCGTGCGACGGCGAGAGACTAACGCTAGGGAGAGAAGGGCATGAGTCGAAGAATTTCGGATGTCGCTCATCCAGCTCGAAAAATGAGATCAAGAAAAATGAGGTGATCAATTCTTAGTTCTTGTTGGGACTCGACAGAGCCAAATTAGGATATTCCTCACCTGTCTCCCTGTTTGACGTCACTCGCTGCTGCCCGTTATGACATGCGGGTTTACTGCATGACCGATTTCTTTGCTGATGGACGTCGTTAAGAATATCAGATTCATCAATCAATTGACTTTCATAAAGTGAGAGGAGTACGATGAGCCCAACGTCGACAAAGGAAAGGCCCATCTGGATGGCAATGACAATCGAATAGACGTCGTTAATGAAACTCTGCGGACGGAAAGCAGACTGCGGCAACATTAGTTCTGCTAGACAAGCCACAAACACCGTAACCTACCATTCACTGACGCAGATCTTGCGCTACTGTGTTAAGGGCAACGCGGTTACTAATTCGATATACACTTGATTAAACTTGACTAGTCTCTACCCTGTCAGTCGTCACGTCCCAGCATTCTTGCATCTCAGTACCCTACGCATTTGTCACGAACGTCAAAACGTTTCTCGGCTATTCCTGAGCTGCACTAACTTCGTACCCTTTTATTCCTATGAGTATTGACAAGGCGCGAGCTATCGTTCCAAACTGCTTGTGAAACAGTCGAGCACACTGTTTTTTCGGTCGAAAATTGTCCAAACCACTTTTCTGTTTTCTGAGGAAGGTAGCCTATAAACTAACGCAATCACCTTCCCTAAAATCGGTAGCACGTCTATCCAATAGCGCTAATTACTTCTTCTTATTACCTATCTGTAATGCGGAAATAAATAGAAAGTTTTTTGTTTTCTATTACATATATAATTTATATCCTTGCACTTTTTGATCTCTACATTATTCACATTCATTTTCTTCACTTTCACTCATAGTTACCATGTGTCGTGCTCTCGCACAATCTCCACTCGGGTTTACAGCACGCGTCGGGAGGAAACCGCGCTCCAGATACACTCGCAGTCGGTCTTACCGCGAAAGGCAGAACTTGCCAGAGGTGCGGGAAAACTAGTTATAAGACATCTCGCTTCGTATCAACTCCAATTATTCGTCTGTATGTAGTCGTCGGGCATCCCTTCGCTTCGCCCCGTGGGCCCTTCCCATAACCGTCGATCATCGCACCCCAGCTAATCTCCTCTTCTCACCTCTCGTCTCATATTCAGGTTAGTCATCACGTAGTTTGTTTTTCTCATGCATATTTTCGGTGTAATGTTATTGCATAATAATATCTCATTTACCATTTGCCCATCACTTGAAGTTTCGTCATGTTGTACCTATATGACATAAAGATAGCGTTTTATTATTTTTGTGTGGTCATACGGGATTAACCCCGAAAGTACTTTGGACACTTGTAGTTGGGAGTTTGGTTCGGCGTCAGGGACTATGCCTTTTCCAGCCCGCAGCAGGACTTCCAGCATTCCTCGGCACGGCGTGTCCTCTTAGCGGTGTATGGGCATCCAAAAACCCACGTTCTGCCGTGGCTGGGGTGCAGGAACCCCGATGCAGATAGCAGAAGGCAGGCACCTCGACACAACACTATGCATTTAAATAGCATGCTTACATACTAAGTCGACCAAGCCATTTACCCAGAAGGACAGTCGCGTCAGCTGTACCAAGTGGAGTATTTGAATTCTCTCGCACCCACGGGAATGCCACCACACGAATTGCATCTGAAAAAATGTGCATTAGTCACGCGCTCAAAAATTTGAACGTCGCAAACGGATTGTGCAGTGGAACACGCCTGAAGGTTGAAACACTTGGACGTTTTTACATTAGATTGCAGATTTATTTGTGGATATAGTAATAACCAGCTGGCGATAATTCCGAGGATAGACAACTAAAGGGATCAGAGGGCCCCCTCCAGGTTTCGTCGTCGCCAATTTCCAGTGCGCATAGCTTTTGCAATGTCAGTCAGTAAAGCTCAACAAAGTGGGTGTGTACCTTCCAGAAGAGGTCTTTTCCCATTTATGTTGTATGTGGGACAACTCTATGTTGCACTCTTCCGTGCAAGAAAGCTGATAAGCTGATGGAATCGAAGTAAAGGCCTCCTCGAATAACCTCAAAAACGTAGCTCTCAGTGAAATTTTGCAGTGATCATTTTCAATCGACTATTTCGAGAGAGGTGAGCCTACTTGAATGGAGTTACGCACTGTGGGTCTTTCGAACAGCGCCCTTGAGCAATGCAATTATTTTAATGTCAGGTGATAAAGAGCAAGGAGAGACCCTTCTGGGGAAAACTGCCGTCAAAATCTGAAACATGGAACCACTGAAGCACGAGATTTCTTCCCGAAATGTTCACTCAATTTGGCAACGCAAGGGCCTCCGCGAATGGTAAAACATACTTTTCTGGATTTCTTCTAAACGAATGGAAATTTCTTCTTGAAGAAGCCTGAGAAAATCTGTCTGGGGACCTAACTGTCAAAGCTACGTCGCTTTCTTCTCCCTCGCAAGAGCCGTCAAACTGAATATTTTTTTAAAATTTGTTTTCTGCTATGTTGCTTGTTTTTTTGACACTTCAGTTACTTCACTTAATTCATTATTTTTTATCATTGTACTTCATCACATTAAAATAAAATGAATGAGTTTGAATAAAATGTAAAAGATGTGATGGGATAATTCGTTTGTTTACAAAATATATCTGATTTTTTCAGGTAATTTTAGTGAAGGATAGAAGAAGAACCTTCCCAGCAAAGGGCTTCCTTGAATACCTGACTCGTACTAACAGGGTGCTAATATTAATATGATCTCGTTGTGTAGCGATATTATCATCCCTTCACATCACACCAGCGCTGGAGCGCAACTTACAACACAACATCTTACAATGGACTATGGCACTCAACGCTGTGATATCAACGCTGACGAATCAGTATCGCAAGTGCGGCACAACGGGTTAAGGAAAAATACGTGGGAAAATTCAACTTCTGAGCTGCTTCTGGAATTTATTTATTGCTTATTCATTTTTTGAAGGAACACCACATGCTTACATCTAATTTTTGCTTCTTTAAAACTGCTCTTCAAAGTTTGGTAAATCGCTAATAGAGGTGCCATTGTTCAGAAGTTTTTCTAATATTGTGAGATGCACCTAAAGAATAGCTTTGCTAAAGACAGAGTGAATTCGTACTAAATCTTTATTTCTAGGAAAAACAAAAAAGTGAAGAAGAAACTTAAGCAAAGTGAGCTAACAAATACTTCAGAATATTGTTCAATCCAATCCAATTATTCAACAAGATCTTTAGTCTTCATAGGACGAATCGAAATTTCACAGGAAATTAGCAGAATAGGAAGCAGTGTACTAGCAATGGCAGAGAATCTTGAATTGTGCACCTCGAGGGAGGTCACCTGTATAAGTTTATTTATTTTGAGATGTACACAAAACAATCCCACGTTTTATGAAGAGTCTCCCTATTCGAAACGGTATAGTCCCAGTAACTTCTATTAAGGTTCCGTGTGGCCACTAAGCAGCGTACGGTTAAATTATTGAAAATGACAAGCCTGCAGAAAGTCGTCATCGATCAAGGTGCGCAAAGTGAGCAATTCACAGCAATGGTGCGAGATTTGTCGTAGAATACTTCATCGCAAGCAAAACGCGTGATTTGGATCTGATTCGGCCAGCGTCTTTGCACAATGCGTTTCCTTTCCCATCAGTTCAGAACGCATAAAAAATATACTGTCAGGGCTGATGAAAATAGAACTGAAGTTGGGGATGACATATCAACCTGAGAAATGGTGCACTGCATAGTTTTGGATTTGAGCTATCTTGAGAGAACGGTGCCCGTGTAGGAAGAAACATTGCCACATGACTAGCTGCTATATTTTTGTATTGANCAGTGGAGAGGAATGATGCAGAAGCATGTGGAAATGTTTTTTAAACTTGATGTTCCTACACAACTCAACTTTTATCGCTGTGATGACGAGGAAATACCAAAACTTCTGAAAAGAAAAGAAGCAACTGGCTTTGCCCCCTCTGCCAATGACGGTGGCTCTTACACACTTTTTCGTTGTGGCTTTGCAAACCTACACAAACTTCCGGGCGAAATTTGACTGCATGAGACTTGCTCGAAAAATCTAGGGAAGTTATTTAGCTCTAAATTCTACTCTAATATTTGTAGCTGACATTCGATACCATTATCTTACCCTAGGATGATGGATTCGAAATCGAAAAATGAGAATCAGGGATTCGAAAAACTCGAGAATTTTTCCTAGTAGACAAACACACAAATACCTAATGTGTATAAGAAGAATTAGCCTAAATTTGTTTATCGGCGAAAGCTGCCACCAAACGTAGACTCGAGCTCGTCTTTGCGATCCTCAATTTCTTGCCGTTTCTCTGGTGATAGAACTCGACCGAGATAAATGCTGATTGCACGATGAGCATCACGTCGAGTACCACCAATCTCCTTGATTACGCGCAACAATTTCTTCATATTCAACCATTCGGGAACCGTCAGATATTGGTGTACGAATTCCTGGAAGTAGGCAGAATGACCCCGATGAGTATAACTGATAAAGAAGATAAAGATCAGAAGTAAAGAACACAATTTAGTTCAGTTAAACACGTGATCGAGGGTATGTTGATATCCAGGGACGCATTTATAGTGCCTTCGACGTGACGCTAATTTCGGCGCTGGTCATCATTCGATACTTCGCGAGCTGATGAATCATGCTGCAAGATGTGAGTTCGGTTAAGAGCGGTTAATAAGGCAAGATCCAGGTGTGAAATTATTGTTTCGACGTACCAGTAAGAAACTAGGTTGCATCAGTGTGAAAAGCTTTATACTAGGTCATCGCATTTTTATTAATAATCTGATCTAGCATACAAGGCTATTTTCTTGAAAAAGAAAAAGTATGTCGGTCGTAGCTCACGCAAGAGAGCGTATGATCATTTTGTGACTTATCGATTGATGACCGATGCCTACGTTGGCGTCGTCTCACGAGATTTCAATGACGCGGACTTCAACCTCTTGCTGCTTAATAGAGAGACCGGCGAATTTCACAGACATTCTTGGATTAAGCTCAGAATTCTCAAATACAACCAAACCGCGCCCCCTCTTCTCTCTTTCGTTTCAACTGCGTCAGCTAATTTTTGGAACAGTCTGCTTCCCAACGCAACGATATACTACGTCATAGCCGGATCCTTTATTTGCCCATTCCTTTCTACCATATCAGTCAATATCTCCGCCACAGTCATTTTTGAAACTTCTCAGGATATGGGCGACTGGCCACAACACCTTCACCGTTAGCTAGTCGCCAGAGGGAGATTTGCTCTGCGACATCCCCAACGAAAGCTCCACACAGTCAGTCCAAGACCTGCAGCTGAAGTAGCTATATTCCAGAGTATAGTCGATACCGTTGACCAATAAATAATAAAGATACCACGTTGTGTACATTTAGGAACACTGTAGACAATAGTATATCAAATGTCTGTGTAAAGCCAGAGAGTAGTACAACCGAAAGCTCACAGTGCCGCATAGTGGACCGATAAGGGAGAAATCGCGCACAGCTGTCTCCCACGTAGGACTAACCTCTGGGCAAATCACTTTGTTGACCCGCACCCGGATACGGAATTCTAAAAATCGTCCACACAACGAGATTATATAGCAACGTAGACAGTTGACGGCTGAGACATGACCCCAGTAACGTTTCTTAATTCATACATAAAATGACTCAGCTGTGTTGTCTTCATATTTATCTCCTTGGCCAAGGGGATGTACACCAAACCAGCGACAGTGCAGTTATCCACAAGTAAGAGATTGAACTCCATCAGAATTTTACAGATGTGAGATCGCAGAGACAGTCGAGAACCGTACGACGCTTCAGGTTGCCGAGAGGCATTCAAACGACAGCATCACCGTCTTCCAGACCAAATCTCCCGAACACTTTCTGTTTAAGCGCTCACTTTTTTGGAGCGGACATATCATCGCAAATGGAACTCCTACGTCCAAAACCATTTCCAGGTACGTTGGCTCCTTCACCTGCGCTTGTCTTGCAAATTGTCACACGTTGAGCTGAACTCAGCCAATTTTTGCGAACTATTTTCTCTTGTCCTTTCCGGAATATCTTCTGCAGCCGTTCGAAGAAGCTCTTGCTAGGATTGCTATAGTGCTGTAGTGACGCGCTGCCTCCCAACCAACAAAGGTGTTTTCCAGTGGGGTTGCTGTGGAATTTCCAACAGAGTTTCCATAGCTCTATAGCGGTAGCACCGAGTGCGCTCTACTTGGAATGGCTTCACTCGGCCTCAAAACCTACAGAGCAGTTAAGTAAAAAGAAAAAGACAAAAATTGTGAAACTACAGACACTGATGAAATACATTCAGTTCAAGATCATGAGTCAAAACTATAAATTAACAAAGATTAGAGAACTGCAATAGAATGCCTGTATTGTTCAACAGAGAAGATAGGTGTTACTATTAAACGCGGATAAATAGAAAATGATGACAGGCAAAAGTGTAGAATCGAATTGTCCAAAAGACCTATATATCGAGAGCCCAGAGATTCCGTCAATGGAGCGATTGTCAGGATAGAAGTTTTGAGGGGAGAGTATAGTGCTCTAGCAGGGAAAGCGCTTTAATTCTAACACAGACTCCGCAGGTATTCATCCGCATTAATGTACACAACACGGTACTATAAATGACAACCATAAGCCCCCTTATATGAAGGTTAGATTGAAGCCATTGGTAATACTGAAGAGATAGTATTGTCTGTATACTCATGTAGATCATTTTCTCAGTATAATGAACTTCTTGTTCTGAAGAAGTGGTCTTTTATTGTAGAGACCGAAATATTCATTGTTCGAATAGACAGAATGCAATGTGAGGATTATTATCACCTCGGTATTTCTTCAGGTGTACATAACAACTTTTAATACTTTGTTGATTACCTTGATCACAGTGGTTACCACAAACTAATGATAACTCAGTTAACATAAATTAAATGTATAAAGCCGGTTCAATGTAATAAGCATAACCTAGTTGTGCCAAGAATCGTCGCAAGTGTGATCTTTTCTGTGATCGATAGGGTGCTGACATATCAAGTATCAAAGGTATTGAGCAGCAGAAAGAGACAGACTATATCAAGAGACAGAAGCGAAAATTCAGTACGGGCATTCGGCTCCTACAGTAACCCCCTAGCTAGGCCCCTTTTTGAAGCGTCGTATATGTGTCGGGTAAGATTTGAGGATGCGCAGGCAAATTGCGCGGTGAAGTTCGTGGTGATTTGCATGACTCTAGCTCCTATCGTTGGGGCCCAAGTTTGAAGTAGAGTGATTATTAGGATCGGATGACTCTAAATAATAGGCGCCAGTGACGCTCGAATCGCCGCGCAATTTGCCGGACGCACGTATGTACCCTTACCTTTGAAGTTTGCATCCTGTGAACTCTAAAATATTCTGCCTATTTCGATTCCTGCTTTTGTTATGAGTAACAACAGCCGACCTACTTTAAGAAACACCAAAAAAGGATAAAATAAAGTCAAGAAAAGGAAAGAGAAGCAAGAAGAACAGGATTAGTAATAAAGATGTATCCAGGCAAGTTACCAATAAAGAGAAGAACGTGACTCATCCAAATGCTCTGCCCACATCAATCTCGCCTGATGCGTTTCAAACTTGTTAACCAGTACCTAACCTTTCCTCATTTTTATGAGTCTTTTAGCTGCTCTAAAGCTCATTCATAAATTACACGGCCCAGTTTGTGTAACAGAAACAAAAATTCAGTACGGCACTCGGTTCTTATAGTAATCCGGCACGTGTTAATACGCAAATTCTTACCCTCGCATATACGACGCGTCGAAAAGGGACCTCGGGTAAGGACACGGGGGTGAGTGGTGGGCAAGGCACTGGGGTGTGTGCCGATTCGAGCGATTCTGGGTGCAAGCGGCAAATCGCGCGGCGAAATTCGGGGCGATTCGAACGACTCTGACGGCTACTATTTAGGCACAAACTTGAAGTAGAATGGTTGGGTATGGTCAGCTGATCCCACTAATCTACTCCATTTCAAGTCTGTGCTCCAATAATAGACGTCAGAGTCGTTCGAATCATCACGAATTCCGCCGCGCAATTTGCCGCGCGCACCCAGAATCGCACGAATCGTGCGTCCCCCAAGCCAGGGGTTACTGTAAGAGCCGAGTGCCCGTACTAAATTTTCGTTTCTGTCTTTGTGTATGACCCGCCCTCCCATGTGTAATGCATTTCGATGATTCCTCTCCCCTGATTTCGCATGTGCTCTTTCCATTTTGAATTACATTGAAAATTCCGCCTACTGTGAGCACGCTCCACCCACCGCAAGCCTTCCATCATAGTTGTTGGGTCATTCCTTACCTTTGCTTGTTTTTTCTCTGCCTCTAAGCTGTCATGAAACGAATAAGGATGTTTTGGTTGTGGCACCGCCCACTCTAGTGCACGTTCCGCACCTGTAATCGGAGCTACTTTGGATGTGCTTTGAGGATCACTCCCTATGCCCTACCCGTGCCAAACCTGACGCGAACTTTCCGGGTGCTTCTTCATCCATCAAATTTTGTGAAAGAAATGAAGACGTGTAAAAGTTGCTCGAAGCTCCAGGGATTCTTGTTGGTGTTGTTCATTGTAGAAGGGACAGCGCTAGGTACACGCTCCCTCACAAGTTACTTGCAATCGACATTCATATATCCATCGCCTGTCTGTCTATTACGATTTTATCCGTTGTGTCGACCATGATTCGTGCTCGTGTGACATTGAAACAAGCTGCTCCAATTAAGTTTCTACTTGACTAGCTGCTCGCTTAGCTTTATGTTGTGCGCTGTCAACCAGATACCACAATAGTTAGTCCGATCGATCGCTCCCACCATCTGCCTTGAAATAAGAATATCAATGCTTCCTCACGCATGTGTACCTCCTCCTTCAGCAAACCTAGTGTTCAGGATTCTAATTCAAATCATCACATTATACTGTACCTTCTTTGTCTTGTTGATCAACTTGAAACCTTTTTCTGAACCCTAATCTTCTCTGCTAATCAACGGGTCCTACCGCGATATCCATAGTCGATGGGGCAAGCCGTCGCTTCCATCTGGGCGTTGTCCTTGTGATGAAGTTCTTCGCTTGAAAGCCGCTCGGGGCATTCCCTCTACTGACCTTGGCTGGTTTTCCCAAAATGGGGGTACTGCTAACCCTTACGACCTTCTCTACCTCGATATATGTTCGATACCAGCCTCCAAGCAAAAAGTTCACAGAGGAACTTTTCGACTGATTACCACCATAGTTTTCTTGAAGAGTACCCTTTTGTGGTATGCAATAGAAATTCCGTACGTGCGCAAAACGATTTAATGCCAGGATGAGTAGGGACTTCATAACCATGAGCAAGGCTGTAGCTATAAACAAAAATAATCAAAATGAATTGCAATTTTCCAAAATCTAATCTGTTAACAATAGGTTCACACAGTAGTCTAGTTCGAGCTGATTCTTTAGGGGAACTGAATTCATTATTGTTCAACGCTATTCTTGCTCAACTTTGTTGATATGCCGTTACAAGTCACTGTTTTCCTTTGAAGTCACTGAGAGTTGATGAAACAAGGAAAAGCTGAAACACCACCATTACAACATGATACCGTCATCCATCCATTAATCCTCAACCATGAACAAACCACAAAATGGAAACAACATTTCTCATTTCAGAATGCTATACTTGTTAACACTCAGTACCAGAAGAGTTAAAAGATTGACCATCAACAACAGGGAGCAACTTTGCTTCCGTTGTAGCTATCTACTGTTAGCACAAGTAAGGCGGAATCTCTGGGAATCATCTTCGACAGATTGGGTGTTTCAGCCCCATGCACCAGTGCCTACTTTGATCGACCTCAACCATCACTCACTAAGATCGATTTAGGTAATTAAGGAGAAAAAGCAATTCCATTAGCCTAGATTGTGGATGACTAAGGTAAGTTCTTGGTTTCGGAGGTCTCGTGAGACGTGGAGATGATTTATAGGATACTGGAACATTAGCCCTTCAAAGTACCTGTATTGTCAATCTCGTGTGAAGTTGTTTCATGGAGTCCACAAAGTCGTTTTGGTATTTACGCACTCATTCTCCGCCTCTTCTCTGCAGCATGACTCAGCGTGATAAACCCTTGGTTTAGGTCAGCTTTGAAGAAGCGCGTGTGCCTTTACATATTCTCACTGAGTTCGAAAAATTTTATGGATGAAATGTTCACTTGTATTTACAGTTTGTGCATGCCACATCTTGTTATGTGTGACATACCGCAGCTTGTAGGGATGAGGTAGTCTACTCTGCGATTTACCATAAAATGTTTGTGGCTATGAAGGTAACTCTTAAAATTAGATGATGGGACGATATACGATATCTTGAAGCCAGCTCACTGTTAGCTATAACTTCCTTTTCGCTAGGTTTATTACCCCGGAGGGCTCGCGAGACACGAGGCATGATATAATTCTTGACTAAAAAAATCAAAAGCATGGCATTGTTACTTATAATTAAATTAGGCGTTTTATGTGAACTATGGGAAACCCTGGCATGGGAGGCGATTGGCAGGTGAAATTTGCCATGACCTCTATGGATTTTTTTCCTTTTCTCTGAAGCAGAGCCCAGTCACGCTAAATGTCCAGAAAGATTCAAATGCACGAATACTCAGACGTTAGGTGATGCAGGCTTCGGCGAATCACTATGCCCCAGTTTTGATGAGGGAGAGTTCAGGATTTGAGAGATCAGACGAGGTCAGTGGAGCTTTGAGAAAAATCTCCGCTCTGTAAGCGATCAGGAAGTATCAGAACAGCGGAACTTAGGAATTGTTTCGGCAGTATAGGAAATTAATTTGGATTAAGAGGAATTATCGCGTGACCTCCAAGCTCTAAATATTGTTATTTTGGCAAAGCTATTTGGGTAATTAATGCGCAGGATGAAAAGAGAAAAACATAGAATTCAGGACAATTCAAAAATGCATCGGAAAGTTCACCAAGTTTTTCTAGGATACACTCCTTACTGAAGACATTATACAAACGGAACTCACCTTTGCAGCTATGACCATTTGTGTTATGTCTAAACTTGGAAAAGGGAACGTTTCCTCAAGTAGCACCGTAACGTTAGCTGATTCATTTGTAGGGAAATCGGGCTCCGGATACAGAAGGACAGGAACGATGGAGACGTTAGAATCCTGGGATGATTCGTTGGGGGCAGCACTATCACTCTGTGCATAGGCACATGTGAAAAGAAGTGCCAATAAGAAGCTGGTCATGATGAATGTGAACAAACAACGACCGATTGAGTATGTATAATTGGCAGGTTGAAGTGTTCACTTATAATCGTCGGGAATTCTTGCAATACACGGTGTGCTAAAACGTCCTCTATGTGTCAAACAGGTTTCCCCTCTACTAACGCCGCTGCTTCCACTTGAGTCAAACACTCTCACTTCACCACAGAACAACCAATTGCATCGTCAATGGATTTTACTTCAAGATGATCGCCAATGTTTCTTGTTTTATATGGAGAAAGTGAAATCGTTTTGGTTGCTGAATCTTTTGAAAAAGCAAAGGCGTGGCTAAATTTTTCGAAGCAGTCTGTTTCGTTTAAGGTATGTGTCCATTTTCCTTTTGTTAGCACAGTGGCATTACTGTCACTGATGGCAATAACCATCGATGAAAAATCATCAGTTTAGATGTCATAAATGTCGACACAGGAACAGCGATGCAATGGAAAGGTATGAAGTAAATGATCTGCAAAAGCGAGAACAGAAAAGGGAAGAAAGTGAATAGAAGGAAGTGTTATTCCCAGCTGTCGGCTAGTCAACTAAACTTATGGCCTATATAGGACAAGTTAGAGAAAACTAGGCCTGAATGCAGATAAGCTATGGCACAAAGCTAACGAAAGGGCGATGGCAAGCAGGGTCTTGATAGGGAAAGGATCAAGAGATCGCGGTGGCCGCGGTGAAGTACATGCACGAGATCAAACCCTGAGGCTGAAGTCTTGCAAACAACTCGCCATTCTTGTGAAACTAAAGGAAAAGTTCTTTACCAAAAGTTCTAGTGCTTAATTCAGATTTTCTAGCATTTAGGGCTGCATTTTATATTGCTAAAAAAGAAATTCCTAATACAGACCAATTTCGACGAATAAGGTATGACGGAGATTTTGGACACACATTTTTCCAGTAATTAAAGTGCCCATTACTTTTCAAAAATGTTCTGAAACGAAATGAGTGTTATGCAGATTTTACCCTTCCATAAAGGAACATAAATCGTTCAGCATCAGTGGGTAAATACCTTACCTGCCTCACGGTCTTTGCCGTTAAGTAATCCCGTTTTCTGGGTGGCCCTCGCATTCAACTTCCACTCAAAATTGTAGTGGTGTTTTGATTGCGTACATATGTGGCCTGTACAACCTATACAATG